TCACCAAAAAATCCCCACCATCGATTAGATAAAGAGTTTACAAGATGGTGAGACAGATTCTGTAAAGAACAGACTGCCCTTTTCCACCAACAGCTACAGACCATAATGTGACAGAACCTTTCTCCTTCCTCCATCCCTAAAACAAAGTTCGACAGCGAAGAACTGCCGTGCTACAGGTGTATGTGCAAGTCCTCGGGCTTTTCAGGAAACAAAGAAGTTGCAAATCAAACCAAAAGAATCACTCTTTTAAGTAACCAAGGGAGATTCAGGGGCAGTTTTGTAGGCTCAGATCTATCACAGGAAGAACACCCTAAACCCAGAAGTATGTCACTTCCTAGGATGCCTGTTAATACTTTTTGGGTTTTTTATCAAGTGCATGAATTTGATTCCAAGATGTCTCAACTTCCTGACATACCTTCCCAACAGACTAACCTCTTTTCACAGGCAGCATCTCAAAGTATGCTAGCCTCTGAGGGATAAAGCACTTGGATTTCAGAACTGGAGATGGGAAGAAACGAGTAATAGAGACAGTTTTGCTGGAGTACCGACTGCTAACTATCAGTAACAAAGCTCCTGACTATCGAGGACAGTTCTGTGAGTGGTGATTTCAGCTGGAAACCAAGTGGTACATTACACGCAGCCACATGAAATGGAAAACAGGAATTCAGTGGAAGCAGTGCTAGTGGTTTACACAAAGAAAACAAGGCGACTAAGAAATGAAGAGCATTCCAAAAAAATCAGAAGATGAAAGCAGTCATTATCCATATTTTCTCAGGTTAAACAGACTATTAGTCAAGAATCAGTTCAGTGAGTATCACACAAGCACCTATTTCACTGGAAATAAAAAGCAGTCACAAACCAGCAAAATCCAAGTCCCTAACGCCTAGGCTGACAGGACAAACTGTATCACTCTAAGCCCACTTAGTTGCTTCTGCCAGTTTCAGGCTCTAGGTATCTACTAAAATAACGTTGGTATCAGTAAGACTGAACAGAAATGTTACATTTTGGTACCTTCTCCTTTGCTACTTCTTGCACGAAAATTGCCTTCTTTCTTTCCTGTTCAACTTTCATCTTCTCCATTTCTAACTGCGTCGCTAGCAGCGTCTACAAAACCAAACACAGGCTGTTAAACTCCTTCTAGCTCCAACTTCAATGACACCATAGCTTAAAGCTGAGGTAAGCAATACCTTTTCCTTCTTCGCATCTTCCAAGGTTTTTGCATACTCATCTTTGAGCCCTTCTAGTTCAACCTCATACCTACATTGGGGAAGAGAAGAGGTCGAGTCAGTAAATAAGTATTCTATGTTTACTTCAGATTCATATACTTTAAAAATAAACATAGCTTCAAGGCTTTACAACATCATGAAAGTAACATGCTTCAATCTTTGGCATGAGAACCAAATACCCTTAACAAGCTGGGCAACTTTTACAACAGCTGTCATCCTCTTGCACAGTTGTATCAACACTCAAAAGAATCAAGTCTTCCAACTGGCAGAGAACTGCTGCAGGTGGTTAGGCAAGACAGCTTACTCCATTTCACTACAATTTTACAGAGATGCTTAACCAAAAATGCAACTCACCTGCTGTTTTCATTTTCCATTTTCTTCAATCTGCTTCTCTCCACTTCCAGCTGAGCCTGAAGACGTGTATTTTCTTGCCTTAGAAGACTATTCTGAGATTCAGTAGAAGACATCTGAATTTTATTAGAAAGAAGTTCTTCTGTAGCAGCCCGTTCTCTCTCAGCAGCTGCTGCTAGAAGAGTTTGAGATTCACCTAACATTAAGAAAAACAAGGAATTTAACTTTTTTTTGGTCAAATATTCATAATATGGGACATGTATTTATGTATCAAAATGGAATTTGAGATTTCTTTTTATATGCAACTAGTTTTTGCTTAAAAAAACAACCCTGTTTTCTATTGTGAAGGAAAAATGTTTTCTACCATACAGGTAGAGGAACGAAGCAATGCAGAACAAGACATCCCGCTCTTTCAGAAAGCAAGGTAGATGTACAGATTGCCTCCAGAAAGAAAGTCATTTCTCTGGGTCCACCTTCGGGCACACTATGCATTTTCATTTAAAATATTAGATTACTACTTTATCAACAAATACAAGTCTCATTACCTATGCAGTTAGGTAAGTAAATTATTCCCACCTTTACAATATGGAATCTAAGCATCAGGCTTCACAACTGAAAACGCTGGTGGACTTTCAGTGTTTCCATGTACACCCTACCTTAAGATGCAGGTGTCCTTACAGCATCTAAACACCTCTATCTTAAAATCTTATTTTACGCTGTGTTTTAAAGAGAATCAGTGAATTACCTGTCCCACAACCTTGGCAGCATATCCCACACAGCATTTCTTTACAGGAAAGCATTTTGTTCTCCTTTCTTCTGACCCACAATCTAACATTTGGGCAAGCATCAAGCTCTTCTCATTTACCCTCAGCCACCTCCCATCTTCATCAAGAGGCTCTCGAGTTCGGTAAAAGCTAAAAACATCTTACCAAGTCTGTCAGAAAGATTCTTCTCCAATTTTTCCCATGCAGAGGTTTGTGCTCCCAGTGTGGCTTGAAGATTTTCTATCTGTCGAAGAAGTGGCCGTGTAGCAGATGTAACACTTTGACTTAGTTCTTGGTTCCGGCCCTCTGCTTCCTGAAGCCTCTGAAACCACAAATTAAATATCATTAAGCTTCAAAAATCATACAAAGGATTAAAAGATTAACACAGAATTCAGCTAAATATGCAGCACTTGCTTTACATTGTAAAATTCCTATGTTCAGACTTAAAGTGTGAAATTTCAAGACAGAGGCCTAACATCTTTGGGCACATGACAGTAACAGCCCAGGGATTTACATGTCAAGAGCCCTCTGGACATCACTTGAAACATTGTGGCAACAATCTCTCTATCTTTCGGACCTTAAGAACAAGAAAAATATTCTCAAGCAACAGCTGAAGAGTCATTCAAAACATTTTCTAGCAATTTTAGAGGACTGTTACAAACTTAATGCCTGTACTTTGTCTTATGCTAAAGAGATTCCATTCCATTTAAAAGGCATAATAAAACCCATGGGTTTTTAATCATATATTGAAAACAGTAATTTCCATTAATATTTTCATGTTGTTCTCTACAGGACAAATACCACAGGCAACCAGGAAAATAAAGCCTCTCTTTCAGGCTATTAATGTCATGCTAGTGTTTCACCTGCCATTTTTACAAGCCTTCCTGGCAGATATAAATTGGCATCATCTATTTGCTACAGTACCTGTTGTAGTTCACCTATTTCTTGGCGTAAATAGTCTTCTTTTCTTGCTGCCTGCTGTTCTGCCCGTTGCAGCGCTAACCTCAGGTCTGCCACCTAAATGAACAAGATATCATCAGCACTCATCCCTTGCCAGAAGCTGTCATACCACCTAGGAATCGCTACAGCCCTACACCATTTTAACACACCGCTAGACAGGGTACGTCTGTTTACAAGGTCAAGGTCTGAGTCTGGTGTGCACACAAGTAGTTAGGCCCAGTTATCTATAACTACAATTTTGTTCAACTGCACATCTTGGTTTTCAAGTCTCCATCATGGTAAGAGCACTACAAGCTTCACACAGATCCTCTCAGAGTCACTTTATTTAGACAAGTAAAATTAAAAGTATTTTTTAAATACAATTAGAATTTTAAAGTTTAGCACAAGTATCATTAAAGACTGAACAAGTTCACAGGAAAAGAAGCCACCGGGTATCTGCTAAGCACACAAAAATGAGTTCCACCTTGTGTTCCATCTGGTTCATTACGCCAGATGCACACACGCCATCGGAGTAGATTCACTTTCAAACGTACCAGTTTCACTCACTGCATTTGAGACCCACCTGAATTGCCAAGGCTTCTTGCTGCTGCCGCGCCTCATCCTGGGCCTTCTCCAGAGCTAACCCAAGCTCTTCCTTTGCCTTCATCTCCCGACTTAAGGCTGCTTCCTGCGCCTCACTGTCCTTTGTAGCATTAGCTTTATGAAGATCTGCCAGTTCTCTGGGAAGGAAAACAAAAAAAAGTGCCAGGCTTTTAACAGTTTATACAACACCAAGAATGACTTTGCGAATATAGTTGATATATATTAACATTTCACAAGCATTACACAAGCAATAGACACAGAAGCTGAATGTATGGTTAAAGACAGGCATACAAATATCTGCTTACTTATATGCACTGTCAAGTGCTGCCTGGACACTTCTGTTCCGTTCTTCAAGGTCTTCCACTTCCCCCTGAAGTTTAGCAAGATCCTTTTCTTGTCGCTCTACAACACCGTTGAGTTGTTTAATGCTGTCTCGATGCTGCCTCTCAAGGTCTTCCTTGCCATCGAGCACCTATCAGAGTGCAAACAAGAAGTATGAGAATAATCCCAGTACATGTGGTAGACCACACCACCTGAGGACAATGACAATTGGGGGCCCCAGTTCAGGATGGAGTGACACAAACCAACTAAAACGATCCAACACTTGACCCAAAGAGAAAGGTTTTGCTCCCCCAGAGGAAGGGGCTCTTCACCACAGTTTCACATCCTTCCTCATCCTGGGTCTGTTGCCTCTATCTAAGGTCAATCACTAACTGCAACAAAAAAAAAAAAAAAACCCACACACAACACCAGCCCAAATTTTGCCCAGGTTTTCCAACTGAAATTTAGTGAACTGAATTTGGTCAGCCCACCTGATAACCAGCAGTGCAAGTGCAAACAAGCAGCTGGAGAGATACCTGGCCACAGCTGTAAACTGCTCCAAGAACATACCTGGAAATCACATCCCAGTGTTCCAATAACATGAACTACAGAAGTCTCCCAGAAAAGAGAACATCAGTCTATCCAGAGCCTCCACAAAAGGCTGCTCTGCAGGTAATATAAACGGCTTTAAAACAAAGTCCTCACCTGTTTTAAGTGCTGCAACTCCTCTTCCAATTCCTTAATCTTTTTGTTCTGTTTTGTGTTAATATTTTCTCTTTCTTTCTCCTTGGCTCTTAACTTCTTAATAATGTTGGAATTATGCAGCTGCTGTTTGGAAAGCTTTTCTCCTGTGAAGAAAAATGTACTTAAAGCTAATGCATATTGCTGTTACTCTATGAACTGTCTCTATTCACTGCCCCCTCTCTTCAGACCCATGAAAATAATCATCATATGTATATAGAAATCCTCTTACATTTTTTTCCATGAAGGTTCTGAGTTTTAAATCTACCTTATCCTGAGATGGCCCTGCTACGCTAAGCTACAGTGAGATGGGGCAGGCAGTGAAAGATGTGCAAAGTAAAGCAAATGAGCTCATCGTATCAGAAAAACACCCCCAAAAAGGCCAGTTCATTTAGTAACTACATTTGACTTCCAAAATTAAAAAGTAGTAAGGAGGAAGGGATACACTGTAGAAATGCCCTGACCAATGCCCTCGGTTAGACTCCTGCAGAATGGAGCATCGTACTGCACGCTGGTTTTACCTCCCAGCACCTTCTAACGCGTACTGCAGCCATCTGTATCTGACTGATCCCTCCTGCTGTTCTTTGCAACTCAATGGTTTTAAAATGTTCAGAAACATCTAACAAGCCTCAAATTACGGTTTTTTCCCCCACATAAAGAAGGCACGTATGTAAAGGCAGTACATTTCAAATTATTGTACAAATTTTCACCCATAAAAAATTAATTTTCACCTTCATCCATTAATCCTTTGATCTGCTCTTCTTTTTCTTTCAGTAATTCAGCAGTTTCATTGGTATTAAGTCTAGTAGCCAATTCTTCTTTAACGGTCTTTACTTCCTAAGTAATAGGATAAAATACTTAGGGCCATTTATTAAAATATATTTAGGGAAAAATGCACAGCAAGTTACACTGGTCACCTTCTTCCTTCACCCCTTCCTCTCAAAAGGCTTTTATTCGAAAACAATTTAGGTTGGGAGGGAATTCTGGAGATGATCTAGTCAAATCAAAATTCTGAGACTTATTCCATCAAGTTTTAAAAACCTCCAAGGATTGAGACTCCCTAAGTTCTCTGCACAATTTGTCCAAGCTCCTCCTTCCACTTCCAGGCATCTGATCATTTTTCTGTTTTACCATACTACTGTTCAAATAGGAAGTGGCATATACAGTGACAATTTGTTTACTCAGACATAAGCTAGAGAAATGTAACACTCTGATACCAGGTCAAGAATATTTAAACTCCACAAACTCTGACACTGCACACTACTTTGCTCATTCCAAACCAATCCATCGTCAGTCCCTAATTCTCCTACCAGTTAATCCTCTAAGAAGCTATTCTCATTCTTCTCCACTTCCCGAATCCCCAGGCCATTTCTTCTGCCTCACAGCAAGGCATTTATGGGTACAAGCTAACTGACAGCAGACATTAAACCTTTCCCCCCATTCCCCCAAAAAAACAGACTAATTCTAGCTTAACTGAGCTCCCTAACTTGGTCACCAACACGGCTGCAAGAATACATGCCTCAACACAAGGAGAAAACAAGCAGCCTGGGAGGCTAGAATCAGCTTATGCTAGTTACTAATACCATGAGATAGCACCTGCCACTCTCATGCTTTTCCCTGCCTTAATTTTTATGAATCTACCTCAAGAAACTTAATTTTATTGTAAAATACTAAAGATGAATTTCACTAAAAAAACAAATTACCTTTTTAGCTGCATCTCTCTCCTTGCAGGCGAGCTGGAGCTTCTTTTCAGCATCGGCAATTCGCTGAGCAAACTCCTCTTTAAGAGATGAAAGGCTACTGCTCTCTTCTTTTATTCTGAACATTTCACTACATTCAAAATTAACGTATCAGAATAGTGGCATGGTTACGTGACATCCCAAGCAGTCTGCAACAGCTTGTCTTAAATGCTTTCAAAATGCGTTGTGGTTTTATTTTACACACGTTAAACGGAAATAAACTTGCTTTCACACTAGAAGCACTAATCAGAGATCTTTATTAATTCGTTAATTTACCTGTGAAAACAATTAAATGTTCAATTTTCTTAAATGTTTTGCCCCTTAATCAAGTTTTTTCTGATTAACCACAGTCTGCATCATATAGAGGGCAAATGATTAAATGTATTTTTAAGATCAATTTAATCACTAAATAATAGCTTCACATATTTTTAATTTTTAAACCTGACATTTGATCAATAAACTGCTACATCCAATGTTTTATTTTTAATTTTAACAGAATTTAATAATGAATTCAGGTTTTTCCCTACCACACTTTCACTGCCTACATTTTAGTCATCAAATTACTTAGTAAGTCAAGTTCACCCACCTGTATCAGCAAAGTCAATCTCCCTTAACAGCTCAATCTTGTAATAACGATCTTTATTAATAACCAAGTCTAACTCTACATATTTGTCATTCCTACTGCTTACTTACTGAAAAATCTTCCCCTAGCCTCTTCCCAAAGCCATTCTGGCCCCAGTAAAAACTGTGTCTCTAAAAAAAGTACCATCACAGCACATGCAATCATCATTTCAGCCTCTCCCAAACAGGGCACATCCCTTGCCACCTTTGTTTGAGCTATAAAGCTACTTGTTTAACAACACTGTCTGTTTGTATTACAGTAAAGTTAGCGTTACACCCACTACTGAGTATATTTTCATACTTACTCTTTTAGGTTATCATAAGCTTCTTCCAGGCGCGCCTTTTCTTTACTAGTATTTAATAACTGTATTTCCCTCTTCTCCAGTTTCTCAGTTAATGAATCAATCATCTGGACAATGTTTTTACAGATAAAGATCAGATGAATGGGACAATTAAAACACAAGAGGGGCAGGCTTCCCCTTTCCCCCCACCATTCCCTCCCAACACTATTTAAAGCTGAACTCAATGGTTTTAGGAATTTGAGGTAGAAGTCAGTGAAGATAACCATGTTTCTGCCACATTAATTTAGAACTAAGCATTATCTAACCACAAGGCACCTGTTTACTACAGGAGTAGAAATCCCACCAAGTAAGCAGATGTGTGACTCAGCTAAGCTCCTCAACAAAATCATGAACAATTACACTTAATTATAAAGGAAGTTTTTAAGCAGAGCCGATAGCAGTTAAAACTATAGCTAACATGAACCATTAAGACTCCCAGTGCTCCTCATACCACTCTTTACAGGATCACAGAACAATTTACATTGCAAGGTCTCTTCTGTGAAACATAAGCATAAAGCAGCAAAACAGCATCAGACAGGGGAAGAAAATTTCCAGGCAGGATCAAGAACTCTTAGCTCACATCAAAATAATATCAGATTTCAGGAAGCTAAATCTAGAGGGATAATACGAACATACATGCAAGTATATAAATATAAACACATGAAACATTCTATAAAGGTAGCTCAGTATGGCCAAGGAAAGACAGGATTTGCTGTGGTCCATTATCACAATTTCCCTTAATGTATGAGCACTGCAGTTAGGGAAACATCTGGGTAACAGTACACAGCTATGTAGTTCTCTAAGGAATTTACACTGACATTCTATACAGTTTACAGAATGCTTTCCTTAAAACACAGATTACATCAGGGTTTTATGAACCTCCCCAGAATCAGCTGCTTTTCCTTTATTACTATCAGACACAGCATCAGCACTGTACACATGCCTACAGGGCAGGGCCAGGAGTAGGGCCCAGCTGCATCATGGGTTAAGCACACAGACTATGAGCAAAGCAAAATGCAAAGACACAGATCAAAACACATGTCAAAGGAGCTCAGAAATTAAAAACAACAGAGGGACAGGAAGGTGACAGAGGAAATGTAAAAAAGCGCACACAATATGCTGGCAGAACTGGATGACACACGCAGTTTCAAAGCTCCACTTTGAGCCTTCCATACACCTGAGCATCCTACTGCACCACATTTCTGGTCAGTTCATCTATTTAGACTAGCCATCCAAATTTCTTTTAATCTATTTGCTATCCATAACAAGGCTTATCATCTGCATTAAAAAAACCCCACCTTTCTTAAAGATGATTTCTTCTAAAAACAGCCATTAATTTCTCTAGCAAAAAGGACTTATTTACACTAACTACTGCTATCCTCAAAAGTACTCTCCTGGTACGTAAACAAATTTTGACAGTTTAAGTTTGTGGAAAAAAAATGCTTGCAAAATATTATCTTGATTATTGCTGAAAAAGTAAAGGCTTGTGATTCCATAACTCAATCAAAACACTTCAAGGAATCTCTTCCACCTTCACAGAAAAAAATAATTACACCCAAGAATTAAAATATCACATTTGACTTATCAAGGGTTCCTGCTTGCCAGCACTGCTCACAATTCACAGTAATGGTAACTAGACACATAAGGTGAAACCCAAAGCAATGACTAGAAACTTCACCAGGATTCTTCCACTGCAGAAGATCAAAAACAGTTTTCTACAAAGTCAAGGTTGTTCTGGATCAATTAATTCACCCAAATAACGTGAAGCTAATACCTATATAAGGAGATGCTAGGAGTTTCATTTGTGATTAAAGGGAGTGTTCCCAAAAAAACACTTAACAGTTACCTTTTTAAGTCCTTGCATCTCAACGTCCTCTTCTACCAAATTCTCAGCAGCCTCCTGCTGTGGCTCAGCCTCCTCTTTCACCACCTGCTCTTCAAGAGTCTGCACAGCAGCAACCAACACATCTGGCTGCTCAGAATTAACAGGGGTTGCACTCCTCCCACTCTCTTCCATCTCAGCTTCCTCCGCATGTAAAACAGAAGTGTCATTCAGGTTTTCAGATTTGTTTTTCAGATCACCAACCGTTTCTGTCTTTGGCGCAGAAGGACTGACAGCGACAGAGGCTGAAGCAGAAGCCCTGCCTGACAACTCATCATCTGAATTTATTTCACTTACACTTCTACTATCTAAAGACTGTACACTAAACGAATCAATCCTTTCAAAAGCATCAGAGGAGCAGCAACTCTCAGTCATCTTTTGAAAGTCATCTAAACGATTATAATCCGCACAGGCAGATGTAGACAAAAGCTGAAATGATGTTTGCATTAGATGAAGACTGGATTTTGAATCTGCAGCTTCTTGTCTGGAACTTACTGAGCTCTCACTTATTACACTTTCATGATCCAGAACTTCAATATCACTAGTTGTAGATGTCCCGGAGGAGAAAGTGCTAACTGGAGGTGACGGTGTATTGCTTTGCCTGTCCTCAGTCTTCCGCTCCTTAGTTTCCAAACCCATGTCTTTCGTACTTGCATTAAGAGGCTGTGATGTTCCCTCCCCTGCACTCCCCGCTCCAACCCCTCCGACGCTGGATTTTTCATTAAGAGCATCTTCAGGTGCTTCCAAATTCAGAGCAGACACCTTTTTGTCAGTAACTTCATTTGTGCTTTCTTCAGGCCTGGCATTAGATCCAAGCACAGAATTCTCTTCTGATTTCTCCTTGGGAACATCGAGGTTTTTCAAGTCCACCAGCACAGCTACAGAGGAATCCTTCACTTCTGCCTCTGCTGTCACTGCTACTTCCAGCTGACTGGAGTGCTGAGGCTCCTTTACAGTGTTCTTCACCTCCTCTTCGGGTCGCTGTGATTTGGCAGGAGGTTTGGACACCACTGGATTTTTCTGTATGCTCTGAACGTCTGTCGGAGAGAGAAAGGCACTGAAGAAGCTTTCAGATTCATCTACTACCGTCCTCCTCACTGGCTTAGTGATGGCTGTCGGTGATACCGGCTGATTCTGTGGTTCAGTATTTGAATTCAAGCCCCAGGCCGATGTATCCCATCCTCCACTTATGAGAGAATTTGTTCCTAAAACAATAGAAAAAAAAGAGAGAGAGGCCAAGAACACATAAAATTTATTAGGTTTTGGTATTTGTCTTTTTAGATGCAACAGTCCAGAAAAAGTGTTTTCAATAACATATAACTTAAATATTCCACACTATCACAAACAGCATCATTTGTGTTACTACTTCCTTACCAAGCTTGGAACCAATTCTTAGACAAAGCAAAATAAGCTTAAGGGAGACATGAAGTAATTCTAAGACTTAAGGAGGACAGACACCCCTAGAAGCAGGACTACCTGAATGGAACCAACTTGCTCTTTCTCTGTCAAATTGTAACTTGAGCCAAGACAGAAAGAAACAATACACAGATTATTCCAGTAAATCCAAGAGTGAGAATTTCAATAAGAAGGTGGGGAGGGTCTGGGAAGGGGAAACGAGCCCATGCAGCATCCTGAAAGCTGTAAGGTCAAGACTGAAACCTGTTCAGGTACAAAAAGCAAGCATTTCTTTTGGGAAGGGAACAAGGCAGAGAGGAAATGTGGCCTCCTGCTTCCTGAAGTGACAGGAGGCTAGGCCAAACAATCGGAAAAGCTGCAGTTTGTGCCTACAAACATAATCTGAATAACATTAATTATTTTAGACTACTTAAAGAACAAGCTTACTTTATGCAGTGCTATCTATTGAAAAACACTGAGTTATAATATTTACAAATGAGACTACTACTTTCAGAAACTGGTGATACCTATTTGGCCTGAAGATCTGAAATTCAGATAATCACTGCTCTCTACTGCCTAAAATACTACAAACATCTAATTTATTACTACCTTGTCCATGATTCAACAGCTTCAGAAAAAGTCCTGTGAATAATAAACTGTATCATTCAGATAACATTTTGACTTATTTTAAAAATAAGTATGTTTTCCCTGAAAAACACATACGGTCTTTGCTGCTTTCCTTATGAATTACAGAACTACTATAAATACTAAGATATAAATTACAAACCAATTTGGACAAGTTTAAAGTTTCAAGAAACTAGGCACAACAGCCTTTTATAAAGAATTCCTGTAATTTAAGATGACACTGGACTAAGTGACTGCCAAGCCCTTGCTCCCACAAAGGAACGAAAACACACAAACTGACCCTACGCTTTGCTGAGCAAGCAACCCAGAAAACGCTTTCAGTTGTTACAGCTTTTGATTTTCAGAGATCTAACCCTGCTGTGGGTATATACCTGGAAATAACCTCCTGCTACAAGTTCTTCCAGATGTAACTGCTATGAAGGACAGTGATTCCAAGTGACTCAGTATCTCAGCCTTTTTTTTTAACCAATCTTTACAATATTTATGGGAAAAATGTTTCAAACATGAGAGTTCCTTTTTGCTCTTTCTTTCGTTTCCCAACACCAATTTAGCACTGACCATCCATTCAGGTTCCACATCGGCAAACATGTAGCAGAGACATTTCCTCATACCTGAGTCGTGACAGTTTTTCCACCAACACATTCCTTTCAGCAGATGTTGAAGGATTATGAATTTTACAGCACAAAGAGTAGAAACTTCACTGGGCTTACACAGAACTGACTTTCAGCTTCTGCTCTGCACTCTGTCACAAAAAAAAAACCCCACGCATGCCTCAGAAAGAACAGTTTCCCTCTTTTTATTAACTTAAGGAGTTTTTTATCGCCTCGGCAAAAAAATAACGCCTTGAGAAACACGGGTGTGAAGTGCAGAGCTACCCATCACAGAAGAGCACTGACAACAACGAGGATGGCGTGTGATGCTGAGGCTGTTATCGCCCCCTCGCCTGTAAGGGGGTGGACGAGAAGCACCACAGGCGCTGCAGAAGGGGCTCCGGACAGGGAGAGCTGGTTAAACGCCCGCCCCGGGGAAGCGGGAGAGGAGGGCGGAGAAGGAGGGCGAGGAGGAGGCCCCGCCCGGCCCCCCCCGCCGCACGGGCCGTGAGGCGAAGCGGCTCAGCCCCCAGGGCAGGAGGCTGAGGGCACGGCGAGGGACGCTGTCACCCAGCCTTACCGTCGCTGTAGTCGGGAATGACGGCGTCGGGCCAGGGGCTCTCCTCAGCCT